CTATCTCCTCCTCATTTCTTCTCTGCCGTTGATTCATCGCCGGTGGGGAAGTGTTAGAGTTCCGTACGACGTTGCCGTGGAGATCATGTCGCGCTTCTCTTCCTCATTTCTGCACTGATTTCCTTTCCCTTTTCCTCTGCAGTATCGCCTTCCTCCTTCATTTAGCTTGCAGCCATTGGTGAATATGCTCTCCCATCATTCTCGTTGGAGTCATGCTCGCGCGACGTTCCCCTTCTCCTCTATTCAAGTATCGACTTAGATGTATCAGAAATCTCCTTCCCTTGTTCTGCATATTACTGAAGCGTTCCTCAGTAGTCTCTTCCTCAGCCACTCCTCACTCTTTTGTCTGTTTTCGTGCTGGTATGATTCTTCTTGCATCTGTCACTGCTAATTGAGGGTGAGGAGATTCGAACTCTCTTTTTCTGCATGGTGCTGGGTTGTGCGTGTGAGCGAGCTGTGAGTTGGGGGCAACTTTCTCGACATTGATTTATCCCTCTCCTTGGTCCAGCGTCATTAGCTCTGCCGGTGAGTGAACTTCGCCTCTCTTCCCTCCATCGTTTAGTCTCTGTTTGTGTAATGGCATTGGGTTGTTGAAATCAAAAATTGTCTCTCTTTTAATTAATATACTAATCGTGCATGATGGAGGAAGAATAGTATTGTTTCCTGAATTGGATTGATAGTTGTTTGGGAATGAAATTTGGCAAAACAAAACACAAAGAAAAGAAGATGATGATGCTGTGGGAGTTTTAATAGAAACTGATTGGATTATTGATTACAATTTGATAGTGTAAAAAATTTTAGGGAAGTGAAATTTAAAAGGAAAAGGTTAGTATTAGCTTAGTGATTAATGCCTATTGGAAGATTTTTGCTTATTTTGTTTGCATTTTTCTGAAATTTCTTTGCTATGTGAAGTATGTTGGTGTATGTGTTGTTGACTTATGAATTAACTTGAAAGTTGCAAAGGAAATTTAATTGTGAAATTAGCTTGTTGCTATGTGAATTCTTGAAAATGAGAGTTTTTGATAGATTATGTGATAAGATGTTTGAATGCTACAAGTTCTTTTGAGTGGATTGAGAAATTATTTATGTTCATGGAGAAACTTTTGTTTAAATCTTAGTTTCAAAGGTTGAAATTTATTAGGATGTATTAGTGTTGGAAGCGAGTTATTTTTTTAGCATTGTTAGAAGTTTATTAAGACCCTAATATATTCTATAGAAAGTTTGGAAGAAGGGGGAAATGGATTAATGTGGTAAGAGGAAAACATTGTACATTTAGAAAACTACAGGTAAGTGGACAGTGTCCCAACTAATTTATCTATTAATTTTTCTTATTACAATTTATTTTGTTATATTGATTATTTTAATAATAATTATGTTGATTAGTGGATACTTTGTTAATTAAATTTCTTCATTTTTAAATTTTCAGATGGCGGTGAAAAACGATTCATCATAGCATATGAATGGTTTACCCTTATGAGATATCTTTTTATGATTAATAAAATTCCTTTTCATTAGCATTAGCAATTTTTGATTATTCAATAAATGCAAGCATGACCATTAGATATGAAATTTAATTCTGACAAGTTTTTAATGCTTAAAAGTATTCATGCGAGTTTGATTTTAAGAATGAGAACTGTATCTTGAAAGTGATGATTTTCTCACATGTTTGAAAATGATTTTAAAAAGGGACTTTATACAGAACACTGGTTGCTAACGGCAGTTCCGTTAGCCCTTAGCGTGCCATGGTTCACTTAGCTAGCAGAGTGCTTATAGGAGGTGCTAATCCCGTGCGATAGCCAACGCACGTGGAATGGAGGGATGGTTATTTGTGAGCATTGTACTCACATTTGATTTCATGGCTTTGAGCCGCGTTTAGTTAGCATTATCCTCGTGGACTGTGTTTCCATATTTGTTTTGTGGCCTCGGTTGCATTCGGTTACTTACCCTCGTAGACTGTGTGTGTCCACGTCTGTTTTTATGGCACAAGCCGTGTTTGGTTATTTATCCTCGTGGACTGTGTGTCCACGTTTGTTAATTGTTCTGATAAGTCCCTATAGTTATGAATTCAATTATTTGATGATTTTATATTTCATTGATTCTTATTCAGTAATTTATTTATAAATATTTATTTCATTTATGTGCTTTCTTGAAATCAAGTAATATTATCATTTGCTACGATAGTTCAATAATTTGAGATTTTATTTGAATTTTTATAGACATTTTGTTATGAAGTTTATTAAATTTTTACGAAAATTTTTGTCTCTTTAACTTACATAACTATTTTGAACTTCTAATTTTATTTATGTTCTATTATTTATTGTCGGGACGTTATTCACTAAAAAAATTATTTTGATCTCAGATACCTTAGTTGACGTCAATCCTCCTTCTGACCCTTGAAAATTTATAGACATGTTGGGTGAAGGATAGATTGAAATTTCCCTTTTGATGTAATTATAAATGCTTATGTATTTTATTTTTAGAGAGTCTGGTTAGGTGCTTTACATAGGTTATAATTAGTGCTTTCATTTTGGTATATATATGCTGTCGGTTGGTTGTAAGGGGCTAAACTCTTGATTGATTGATTAATTTGTGAAAAATCTTGTATTGTAGAATTTTTAGGAGAGTTTATTTAGAGGGGAGGTTGTGTCGAAATTTTTACAAAAATGTTTAAACTTTGTTGTAATGATTAATATCAAGAATACTAAAATTGCAATATAAATCTGAAATTATTTTAGAAATGGAATGAATTTACATTTTGAGGCTCATGTGAATGTGTACTATGGGTTACATTCCGTGCTGGTCACCCTCTACTTTTGAAGCGTGACACAGCTCTTCTACTATTCATGACCAGAATAATAGAAGGGGTCATAGAGGATTGTCATTTGGTCAATAATGGCTCCAGATAAGTATAATCTAGTTGTCTAATAATGTTTTCAATGAATGAGATGGAAAATGACTTGAAACACTTGTATTTGATTAGTTCCTTAATTAGGATAATGTTTATATATATATATATATATATATCAAATTAGTTAGAATCTTGATAGTTCAGTGGAACAATTCAATTTTAGCCTCTATGCATTGTATTGGTTGAGGTAAATTTGATCATAAGAATTTAGAGTCTCTTCTTTAGCATGAAGACTGATGGTCTTTTCGATTCTTATCATTATGATGAAGTAGCTTGGGCGAATCAGGGAGCATGTGTGATGGAATTTAAATTGTTTCAGGGAGAATTATGATTGTGCTTGCATGTGCAACTTTACTTCTTTTTTTCACAAAGACAAGTTATTACTTTAGGGATTGTTTTTTCCTATTTTACCCAAAATACTTTTTTTTCCTATCCATTTGTGAAAAAACCTAACCCCTTTAACTTAACCCTTTTCATCGCTCATTTTATTTCACCTGTCTAATTTGTCTTCTCTAATTTCATAATGAAAATTAAAAACCACTAGTTTGACCTTTCATGTAACTTGAAAAGGCATTCTTTTTATGTTGGTGTGGAGATTAGTTAGGTAATTCCACTTAAGGTCCCAAATATTTTTGGACCTATAATTTAAGTGCTAATTTGCTATTTTACACAAAATAAATGATGTGACTTATAATATAACAAAAAAATTCTCTTTTCACCTTGTACATAGAACCAAAGGGAGTATAAATTAATTTTTTTGTACTATTATGAGAAGTTTTTCCCCCCATGAAGATATACTAATAAATTGATGATATTCAAAGTTTATGAATCAGCTTAATTTTATGAGTTAACATACTAGCTATATAACACTCAGGGTCATTTGATCGCTACAGCTTCATAATAAGCATGGTTCTCTATCTAATAATATTTTTAATATGTCTAATAATGTCTTTGATCCTCACATTCATCAATCTATGCAATATTTATGTGGACTATTTTGTTTAAAATTAAAAAATAACTAATTTTTAAATAGTTTAAAAATTTTACAAAGAGAGATTATTCGTAGAGATTTTATAAAAAATAGACATTATTTTATATTAATTATAATAATAAAAAGTAATTATTTGTTACTTCCTCCGTTAAAAAATGTAAGGCATTTTTAATCAAATTTTATTTCTCAATAAAGTAATTACTTACTTTCTAACTAATCCTATCTTTTCATATTTACTTCTATGAAATATTTTACAATAAATATAAAGTTATTAATTAATAGGGACATTTTCAAAAAAATGACAATGATTATATTTCAAAAAACTAAAAATGCATACGTTTTTAAACATATAACTTCTCAAAAATGTCTTACATTTTAATGGAGGGATAGTAGTTATTTTAATTTCATGATATCTTTTTTATTTTTATTTAATTATTTTAAAATTTCATGATATCTTTGTCTCTCTTATCTTTTTAAAATATTCTACCTTATCTATTGTATTATATTATTTTCAAAAACTATTTAAAGTAGCTTATTAAAATAGTTTAAAATTTTATTTTGATTATATTATTTTTAGAAACTATTCAAAATAATT